GGGAAAAATTCTAATTTCTCGTGGCTGATCAAACTCTCGGGCAGATCTCGCAGAAAAGCTTTCAAGCCAGACGCCACTTCTTTGGGTTCATAGCTTGTCAGGTCGAAACTTCCTTTGTAGAAATTGGCTTCTGCGTCTTCTTTAAATTTCTTAGAGAAAAATGTGTTCACATGAACTAATTATGATTTTAATTAACTGTCACAATTCAGAACACAAAAGAATTACAAAAGTATGCAATATGAGGATGGTGTTCTATGGAAACGCTTAACGTTATTTAAAACAAAGCGTGTGTGTGGGGGGGGGGAGGTGGTAAGTATGCCACACTTCTGTGAAGTCCTGTGCTAGTTAGCTTATGGAACTAAATATAGTAGTCATATATAAGCTAATATATGTGTGTGTATCTGTGTATGTGTGTGAGTATGTCTGAAGAGAAGCCTAATTTACCTTTGTGTATGTGTGAAGACAAGCCTAATTTACCTGTGTATGTATGTGTGAAGAGAATTCTAATTTACCTTTGTGTGTATGTGTGAAGAGAATTCTAATTTACCTTTGTGTGTATGTGTGAAGACAAGTCTAATTTACCTTTGTGTGTATGTGTGAAGAGAAGTCTAATTTACCTGTGTATGTATGTGTGAAGAGAATTATAATTTACCTTTGTGTGTATGTGTGAAGAGAATTATAATTTACCTTTGTGTGTATGTCTGAAGACAAGGCTAACTTACCTTTGTGTGTATGTGTGAAGACAAGCCTAATTTACCTTTGTGTGTACACCAGGTATTCTAAAAATACCTTCTTTTGTCGTCCCTCTGACCTCAATGTCCTGGGCCATCTGTAAAGATAGATCAACTCGCATTAGCTCATAACGTGAGCTAAGAACTAGCATTAGCTGATAACGTGAGCTAAGAACTAGCATTAGCTCCAGCATTAGCTCCAGCATTAGCTCAACACGTGAGCTAAGAACTAGCATTAGCTCCAGCATTAGCTCCAGCATTAGCTCCAGCATTAGCTCCAGCATTAGCTCCAGCATTAGCTCAACACATGAGCTAAGAACTAGCATAAGCCAACACAAATAAGCGACTGATGTGTATGATGATGGGGGTAAGGGGGGTAAAGGGGACTGGTTTTTAGGTGCATAAAATGATGACCGCTTCACACAAAATAAAATAATCGTGTAAAAATAAAGCTCCATTTCAGACCTGGATTTCCACAGTACGGATGACGTTCAAATGCTCCATGACGTATGGATTGATGGTGTGGTCAGAACTATGTCCAGCTTACCAGATTAGATTGTACAGGTACTCGTCGAAGCTGAGTTGACTCAGGGACGCCCCACAAATGTTTAAGTAAACTTGAGAAATATTTTTTTTTTCTTGAAATGATTAGCGTGGGTCACCTACAAGAATGCCCATCTACCCACAGCTAGGGTGGCCAGGGGTCAGACTGACCTGAGCCCACCTAACCCCCGTTACGTGACCAGCCACTCACCTGCATGAAGAAAGATGGCACCGCATAATTTTTCACCGCTTTACCCTCCTTCACTTCTTTAGCCACCAAATCCTCCAGCGTGGATCCGTAGAGGGATGTATCTGATAAATAAAATCACATGGTTTAGAATAGTTAACAGTAGAGGGATGTATCTGACAAATAAAATCACAGGTCTTAGAATAGTTAACAGTAGAGGGATGTATCTGACAAATAAAATCACATGGTTTAGAATAGTTAACAGTAGAGGGAAGTATCTGACAAATAAAATCACAGGTCTTAGAATAGTTAACAGTAGAGGGAAGTATCTGACAAACAAAATCACAGGCCTTAGAATAGTTAACAGTAGAGGGATGTTTCTGACAAACAAAATCACAGGTCTTAGAATAGTTAACAGTAGAGGAATGTATCTGACAAATAAAATCACAGGTCTTAGAATAGTTAACAGTAGAGGGATGTATCTGACAAACAAAATCACAGGTCTTAGAATAGTTAACAGTAGAGGGATGTATCTGACAAATGAAATCACAGGTCTTAGAATAGTTAACAGTAGAGGGATGTATCTGACAAATACAATCACAGGTCTTAGAAAACTTTGGGAGAGGGGGGGGGGCTGAGTTGTCATTTTGTTCTAACTGTATTGTACTATAGGGGCAGTGTTTCTTCCAGACTTTTTTCTCCGAAAGGGGGGGGGGGGTACTTGAAATTTTCGGAGGGGGGGGGGGCGGTAGACTTTTTTCGGGGGGGGGGGGGGGAGGTGATACTGTTAAAAGTATTTATTTTCGGGGGCGGTAGACTTTCTTCGCCCTCCCCCCACCCCCCGAAGAGATGCCTGGAAGAAACTTAGTGTATGGGGTTGTTAATGTAGGGTTGGTAATGTAGGGTTGGTAATGTAGTGTTGGTTATGTAGGGTTAGTACTGTAGGGTTGTTACTGTATGGTTGGTTATGTAGGGTTAGTACTGTAGGGTTGTTACTGTATGGTTGGTTATGTATGGTTGGTAATATATAAATATGTTTGGATATTTCACATTCTTATTTTGGCATTTTTATTATATTCGTTGGATCGATATGTTGACACAACCCTCAAATAATGGTGACACAACCCTCAAACAATGGTGACACAACCCTCGAACCCTCAAACAATGGTGACACAACCCTCAAACTGCAGTGACGCAACCCTCAAACTGCGGGGGGGGGAGGGAATTAGGGTGAGGCTGTAGCTCTGGACACCGACATTAGGGGGGGGGGGGGGCACCAAAAGAGGGTTGAAGTAAGAAAAAAAAAAGCTCATTTGTCAGCTGCGTTAAAGAATTACAGACAGTCGAGGATAAGAAAATATACTGTCACATTTATGATTACAAACATTTATGATTATGTACATTTATGATTACATACATTTATGATTATGTAATTTATGATTACATGCATTTATGATTATGTACATTTATGATTACAAACATTTATGATTATGTACATTTATGATTACAAACATTTATGATTATGTACATTTATGATTACATACATTTATGATTACACACATTTATGATTATGTACATTTATGATTACATACATTTATGATTATGTAATTTATGATTACATGCATTTATGATTATGTACATTTATGATTACATACATTTATGATTATGTACATTTATGATTACATATATTTATGATTACATACATTTATGATTACATCATTACATACATTTATGATTACATCATTACATACATTTATGAATACATACATATATGATCACATACATTACATACATTTATGATTACATACATGTATGATTACATACATTACATACATTTGTGTTTCTTCTTCGTCCTTTTGGCTTTTTTAATTTTATGACTGTCTAGGACTGCTTTCATTGACTGGTAGGAAAGTTCTCGAACTATCTCGGCGTCTTCATTTGCCAGGTCGTGCATGTAGGTTACACCTGTGTTGTCTATGGGCGCTTCATAGGGCTGGCAGGTAGGGTTAGGGTTAGTTTGGGTAAGTGTGTGGGCTGGTTGCATAGAGATATTTTAGATGGAACTGTGGATGATTATTGAAACTGTGGATGATTATTGGAACCTGATTATTGGAACTGTGGCTGATTATTGGAACTGTGGATGATTATTGGATCCTGATTATTGGAACTGTGGATGATTATTGGAACTGTGGATGATTATTGGAACCTGATTATTGGAACTGTGGCTGATTATTGGAACTGTGGATGATTATTGGATCCTGATTATTGGAACTGTGGATGATTATTGGAACTGTGGATGATTATTGGAACTGTGGATGATTATTGGAACTGTGGATGATTATTGGAACTGTGGATGATTATTGGAACTGTGGATGATTATTGGAACCTGATTATTGGAACTGTGGATGATTATTGGATCCTGATTATTGGAACTGTGGATGATTATTGGAACTGTGGATGATTATTGGATCCTGATTATTGGAACTGTGGATGATTATTGGAACTGTGGATGATTATTGGAACTGTGGATGATTATTGGAACTGTGGATGATTATTGGAACTGTGGATGATTATTGGAACTGTGGATGATTATTGGAACCTGATTATTGGAACTGTGGATGATTATTGGATCCTGATTATTGGAACTGTGGATGATTATTGGAACTGTGGATGATTATTGGATCCTGATTATTGGAACTGTGGATGATTATTGGAACTGTGGATGATTATTGGAACTGTGGATGATTATTGGAACTGTGGATGATTATTGGAACTGTGGATGATTATTGGAACTGTGGATGATTATTGGATCCTGATTATTGGAACTGTGGATGATTATTGGAACTGTGGATGATTATTGGAACTGTGGATGATTATTGGAACTGTGGATGATTATTGGAACTGTGGATGATTATTGGAACTGTGGATGATTATTGGAACTGTGGATGATTATTGGAACTGTGATTATTGGAACTGTGGATGATTATTGGAACTGTGGATGATTTTTGGAACTGTGGATGATTATTGGATCCTGATTATTGGAACTGTGGATGATTATTAGATCCTGATTATTGGAACTGTGGATGATTATTGGATCCTGATTATTGGAACTGTGGATGATTATTGAAACTGTGGATGATTATTGGGACTGTGTATGATTATTGGAACTGTGGATGATTATTGGAACTGTGGATGATTATTGGAACTGTGGATGATTATTGGAACTGTGGATGATTATTGGAACCTGATTATTGGAACTGTGGATGATTATTGGAACTGTGGATGATTATTGGATCCTGATTATTGGAACTGTGGATGATTATTGGAACTGTGGATGATTATTGGAACTGTGATTATTGGAACTGTGGATGATTATTGGAACTGTGGATGATTATTGGAACTGTGGATGATTATTGGAACTGTGGATGATTATTGGAACTGTGGATGATTATTGGAACTGTGGATGATTATTGGAACTGTGGATGATTATTGGAACTGTGGATGATTATTGGATCCTGATTATTGGAACTGTGGATGATTATTGGAACTGTGGATGATTATTGAAACTGTGGATGATTATTGGAACTGTGGATGATTATTGGAACTGTGGATGATTATTGAAACTGTGGATGATTATTGGAACTGTGGATGATTATTGGAACTGTGGATGATTATTGGAACTGTGGATGATTATTGGGACTGTGGATGATTATTGGATCCTGATTATTGGAACTGTGGATGATTATTGGAACTGTGGATGATTATTGGATCCTGATTATTGGAACTGTGGATGATTATTGGAACTGTGGATGATTATTGGAACTGTGGATGATTATTGAAACTGTGGATGATTATTGAAACTGTGGATGATTATTGGAACTGTGGATGATTATTGGAACTGTGGATGATTATTGGAACTGTGGATGATTATTGGGACTGTGGATGATTATTGGATCCTGATTATTGGAACTGTGGATGATTATTGGAACTGTGGATGATTATTGGATCCTGATTATTGGAACTGTGGATGATTATTGGAACTGTGGATGATTATTGGAACTGTGGATGATTATTGGAACTGTGGATGATTATTGGAACTGTGGATGATTATTGGAACTGTGGATGATTATTGAAACTGTGGATGATTATTGGATCCTGATTATTGGAACTGTGGATGATTATTGGAACTGTGGATGATTATTGGAACTGTGGATGATTATTGGAACTGTGGATAATTATTGGGACTGTGGATGATTATTGGATCCTGATTATTGGAACTGTGGATGATTATTGGAACTGTGGCAGATGACATAGTTCTGGTTGTATTGTAAGAGTAAACAGAACGTGTCTACAGGTCATGTGATTGCCGCCGGCCAGATGTGTTGTTTGAACTACAATGATTAATTTAAATGTAACAAGTGTTGTGTGGGGAATAAGGGCATTACTTCACACTTTTGGGGGGAATAAGGGCATTACTTCACACTTTTGTGGGGAATAAGGGCATTACTTAACACTTTTATGGGGAATAGGGGCATTACTTAACACTTTTGTGGGGAATAGGGGCATTACTTAACACTTGTGGGGAATAGGGGCATTACTTCACACTTTTGTGTGATATAGGTGGATAACTCGCAAGAAATGTATGTAGCGTTGGGGCATTATATGAAAGTTCAGGGGCATTTTGGCATTACATCAAATGTCTGGGGCATTGGGGCATAACTTACATCAAATGTCTAGGGCATTTGGGCATAACTTACATCAAATGTCTAGGGCATTTGGGCATAACTTACATCAAATGTCTAGGGCATTGGGGCATAACTTACATCAAATGTCTAGGGCATTTGGGCATAACTTACATCAAATGTCTAGGGCATTGGGACATAACTTACATCAAATGTCTAGGGCATTGGGGCATTATATAGAGAAAATGTGTTTGACACACTTGCAGACAATGTATGGGGGAGTTATGTGTGGCATAGGGGGCTAACTTACAGGCAATGTCTCTGGAAGTTTGGCGTATCTGGCACAAGGCACCCAGCAGACGTTCGAGTTGAGGCACCATGGCTTGACCTTGGCCTTCAGGAACGAGGCGATGCTCTCCGTCTTGCCATGTCCGAACAGACCGACCGGACGTTGCTGACCGCTCCAATACTTCAAGGTTTTTGCTCCCTCCAATGGCTGGTAAGATCAGGTCAAGGATGTCAGTTAACCCTAACCTTAACTTTATCTTATCTTGGTTAGGATAAAATCTCCAAGAAAACCATTTTAAGACAAAATCAAATTTTGAAAATTTAATTTAGTAGCCTACTTTGTTTAAATGCGATCTATTTATTATCTTCACCCTAACCCAGAGGCGTAGCTGGGGGGGGGGGGGTGCGGAACGCACCGGGTGACACCAAAGCAAAAATTAGCAAAATATATAGAGAAAAATGATAATTCCCCTTAATTAAGTGATTAATGTGTTAAATAGTGCTTTAAGAGGTGCAAATCGAAAGTTTGATGGGGGGGGGTGCAAATCGAAAGTTTGAGGGGGGGAGGGGTGCAAATCGAAAGTTTGTCCCCGGGAAGGGTCGCTACGCCTCTGGGGGGGGGGGGGGTGACACCATTAAGTGACGCACCGGGTGACACCCGATCTCGCTACGCCACTGTCCTAACCTTGTACTAACTATAGCTAACCACAGCCCTGACCATACCCCTAATCCTAACCATATTCATTAGCCAATCTCTGACCCTAATACACATGCAAACCCTACACAAACAAAACTTTGTTTTTAAATTTACCTGTGAATCGATCGACGACTGATCGATGATCGATTGCCGGTAGAAGTCTTGCGATTGGCCTGAGGAAGAAATACACGGAACTACTAACACAACCACAAACATATTTACAACGTTTACAATGTTTACCATGTTTACCATATTTATCATATTTACTATGTAACAAGACTTTAATTTGTGTGTCGTATAGCCCATAACAAAACATTAATCCCAAGATTAGTTGTAATCTTCTTTATAATCCTAACCTCAAACCTAGCCATAATCCTAGCCCTAAGGGTTAAAATATTTTCAGCCAACTACAGCCACACGAGTTAACCTTTAGTACCAGATTAAAGGTACACTTAAAGTTTAATTTATAATTTTAATGTGAAAGAAGCAAAAAAGTATCGTATCGTCGTTTCCTTTTATCGGTATCGCAGTGTAAGATTCAATTATGTGTCTAGACCTTGGTAATGTATGGTTGGGGTCACTTAGCACGTGATATTTTCGGGGGGGGGGGGGGGCGGACACTAGTAAAAGTATATGTTTACTATATAAATTCCATCTCGTTCGGGGGGGGGGGGGGGCGAAGAGATGCCTGGAAGAAAGTCTGAACAAAGCGCCTCTCCTCAATACCCTCGCATTTTTTTTTATCAATCTTAGCATCTCCCTTAACACCCCCACCCCCGCACAAATCATGACAAACAAAGCGCCCCCTCCGTACTTCATCCAACAAAGCGTCATCCGTTGTGTTAGATTGTATGTGATTTTTATGTAATTTGTAAAATGCTGGATAGTCCACTTTCCGGGTATCGAATACGTAATCAATCCTCAAGAGCGGATAATTTCATTACCCTTTAGGTGAGGGGGGGGATACATTGATAATGGGAATGATTGGGAGTAATAGACCAGGAAATTAGATCTATGCCTTAAACTTCTAGACTACACCACGTTTATAGCTGAAGAACATAGATCTACATACAACATGACACTAACAACTGTTTCATCTAACTATTAATGCGGTGTATCGGTACAGTGATATCCGCACGGCCGTCATTAAATCGATTGTAAATCACAGATAGTACTACTATGTCTAGATCCTTATGCCAACTAGCATAATCCCTGGCCTAGATCTTAAGTCCTAAACTGCTCCGGGACGGCGTGGTCGAATAGTAGAGCGATTGGCTACTAACCCGAAGGTCACAAGTTCGAACCTGTGACTGAACGACTCCTTGAGTTCACCCAGCTCTGATGGGTATCTGACTGGAAAGCCCTGACTCACCTGAGTTCACCCAGCTCTGATGGGTACCTGACTTACATTGGGGAATGGCATAGTGTTCAACACGCTAACCCTTCATAGGTAGAGGTCAAGAAACATAAGAAATCTACTTCCTCTCCCCAATGGGGAGCTAGATTTAGATCTAGATCTAGGTTTAAAGAGGAACTTTACTTTTAAACTATTCCGTGATATTTCAGGATTGCCGATCGAGGCGGGAAGAGGGATGGGTGGGGGCACGTACCGTTCTCGTCCCTGGGACTGTAGGAACTGACACCCCACGTCTTTGATGCCAGAGTATTGGCCCCAGAGGCCACCTGCCGGAGCGAGTTTGGCCCCAGTCGAGTAAGTAGCACCATGATGTGCTGGCTGATGTTTGCTTGACAAAGACAACACGCGATGGCGGCGAGTTGGCAGCACAAAAACAATGACGTCAACAGCTATTTTGATGACGATCATGGCAATCTCCCTTGCGCAGACTGACAGTATATCACAAAGTATAAAAATCAGTGGCTGGGGTTATAGGTTTAGCATTTTAGGGATATAAACTATAGATTCACTTTTATCACCACGTTAGTGTATGAGACAAGAACTTCAGGATAATTAACGCGAAAGTCTCGAGTTCGAATCCGGGTTCAAATCAGTAGAACTTCCCTGAGCCCTCCCAGCTCTTACGGGTACCGAACTAATGCTAGGACGAAAAAAGTCGGTTGGCCTAGTGCCGACCACACTATCCTTTCATATGCCGAAATCATAGAAACAGCTAAACTTCACTTGCCCCATCTGGTTAAAAAAGGGAACTTTACTTAAGGACATATTGTTCCCATAAAACATATAATTGGCGAAAATGACGAGTACAGGTTTATCTGAGTCAAGTTTGACACCTCAGGGTTAACCCCCCCCCCCCCCCCCCAAGGTATCATCCAATTCTGAGATCAATAGCCCGGGATTTCCTCGGATCTTTTCTTTTTCTGTCCACAAGTCGCCTGGCTGGCTGTCCCGTCTCTCCACCCACGTGTGGCTGTTGCCGGGGGTTCGACCCCCACCCACGTGTGGCTGTTGCCGGGGTTCGACCCCCACCCACGTGTGGCTGTTGCCGGGGTTCGACCCCCACCCACGTGTGGCTGTTGCCGGGGGTTCGACCCCCACCCACGTGTGGCTGTTGCCGGGGGTTCGACCCCCACCCACGTGTGGCTGTTGCCGGGGGTTCGACCCCCACCCACGCGTGGTTAAGTTCCCGAGAGTTCGACCCCCACCCACCCACCCCTCCAAACTAATAAACCAGATGATCGCCCAGAGAACTGGACTAATCCACCAGATGGACATTAACAGAACAAACACTAGACAGCCATTTCAAATGAACTGACAAACTGAAGAAACAAAAGTGGATTTTTTTAATGTTCAAAACTCCATGTGAATTAACTACTACAGGAGTTGTTCAACCATCCATTGGATGAACCATACATGTGTCATGTGACTTGCACTATTAACCTAGCTTCAACAATGCAACATATACCTAGCATTACATGCATTAGATCAGATGAAACATACATGTGTCATGTGACTTGCACTATTAACCTAACTTCAACAATACAACATAAACCTAGCATCACATTCATTAGATCAGATGAAACATACATGTGTCATGTGACTTGCACTATTAACCTAGCTTCAACAACACAACATAAACCTAGCATTACATTCATTAGATGGCAAAATTAAAAAGTCAGATCAGACTAGCCTAGCATTGCTAGACCAATGTTGTTTTTGTCAAGTCTAGCCTTAACACCCCATTATGTAGCGTGCCCATATAGAATTGTTATCTTATAAAGTCCAAACATTAGCAACAATCAAATGACTATTTAATTTTTTTTAAAACATATCATCACAAGCATGCATCATCAAATGGTATCAATGTCCAGATAAATAAAGGCAGAATTGTGTTAAAAACAAAATCACAACTTTCTAACAGTTGAAAACATATAAAAATTATTAGGGTAATCTTTTTAAAACATAAAACCTAACCATGAAGATAACCCAAAGTGATTTAAATCTACAATTTAAACTGCAAAAACAACAGAAATTATAAATATATATATATATATATATATATATATATATATATATATATATATATATATATATATATATATATATATATATATATATATATGTGTGTATACATATATATAATTATATATATATATATATATATATATATATATATATATATATATATATATATATATACATACATATATATATAATATATATTCCTAAACGTATGTATATATGCATACAAACAGATGGCAACAGATGATGTATATTAGTTTATTCATCCAATGATGTATGTACAAGACCCTGTTTACAGAAATGTGTAAGATAGTTTAACAGGCACTGATCCAAATGTCTTAATACAAATATGCTGTTTGATACATTTGTAAATAGTTTGCTAAAATTGCACGTTGCACCAATTGGGTAATAGATGTATACAGAATATATAAATATAGATATGTCAGGAAAACAGTTTAACAACCATACAGTGTATATAAGGGTATACATTGTACCATAAAACTTCTCTAAAACAAAAGTCTAAAACTTGCTCAGAGTGTAAATATTAGTTTACAAAATGAGAAAAACATTTTAAAAATTAGTTTTAGTTTAAAATGTTACTGATTAGTCTTGGGTTCAAAAACCTGTATGACAAGCTGCCAGTTTTTAATAAACTTATCAGTTCAATGGAGCAACCAATTTACTGTGAAAACACAAATAACCAACTGATTGGTTACTTTTATTTATCTCAGGATGTACTAAGTAAATCTGGCCAACTGATTGGTTATTTTTATTTATCTGATGATGTACTAAGTAAATCTGGCCAACTGATTGGTTATTTTTATTTATCTGATGATGTACTAAGTAAATCTGGCTAGCTGATTGGTTATTTTTATTTATCTCAGGATGTACTAAGTAAATCTGGCCAACTGATATAAATCTGGCCGACTGATTGGTTAGTTTTATTTATCTGATGATGTACTAAGTAAATCTGGCCAACTGATTGGTTATTTTTATTTATCTGATGATGTACTAAGTAAATCTGGCCAACTGATTGGTTACTTTTATTTATTTGAGGATGTGCCAAGTAAATCTGTAGCACCTAACCTATGTGAAGATAAATTTTGTGTGTGCATTTATTACTCTCAGCACTGCAAGACCCTCACTGTGTGATCACTGACCTAGGGCATTTTGTGTAACAATTACTGGCTATTCACCTCACTCTAACTTGTCTAAGTAAAAATGTGTTTAATAAAAAATGTTAGACAAAAACTCAGTAGAATAGAACAACTGATCTGGTCTGTATTCTCCCCATGATATAAAGTAAACCACAGGACAAACGAGGCAGGAGAAGGTAGAAACCTAGAGTAATTGTAATCAATTTAAAGCTGTCAGGTTAAATTAAGTAATACATGTATCAGTAACAGAATGGTAGCAACTAATACTCAGCTCTACTAGAGCTTACACATGTGCAAGGCATTCAAATAATAATGGTGTCAACACACATGTCAATACAACCATTTAAAACACAAACACACCCAAATGTCATCACACATGTCAATACAACCATTTAAAACACAAACACTACCAAATGTCAACACACATGTCAATACAACCATTTAAAACACAAACACTACCAAATGTCAACACACATGTCAATACAACCATTTAAAACACAAACACACCCAAATGTCAACACACATGTCAATACAACCATTAAAAAACACAATCAAACAACCAAATGTCAACACTACTGAATGTCAACACTACCAAATGCCACTATATATAATGTCAACAGAGCTAAATGTCAACACTAGCAAATTGTCAACAATCAGAGGCCAACATAACCCAACTTCATCACAGTTAAACAGCCAAATGTCAGCCCAACAAAATGTCAACATTTGCCTAACAGATGACAATACTATAAAAGTAGAGCATTTTTACCAAGCTTTTATCTTTTAACCAAACACGCCATGAAATGTCAACAAATGTTATTAGAAAATATAACTTATACTATAAGATACAAAAGTAGAATTGCACAGTGAGTAGCATCATAAAAATAACCCCTAAATATAGATTCGGTACATATTCAGTACAAAAAAATAATTGTCTTCCGCAATTGGTATCTCCTTGATAATTTTATTCCACAGCATTCCAAACTGGCATGTGGGATAGAAAACAGTTTATCTGGCAATGTCAACAATACCACTTTAGGTACAACCACAGAGAGAGAATCAAAATGTGACTGTTGCAGAGGTGTAGCGAGGGCGGGGGGACATATGTCCCCAGGCGCCGACCTTCGGGGGGGCACCAAATTGAAAGTTTGAGGGGGGGCGGGTGCAAATGAAAAGTTTGAGGGGTGGGTGCAAATCGAAAGTTTGTCCCCGGGCGCTGGGAGGGGTCGCTACGCCTCTGTACTGTTGAGAACTGGAAAGGGTGTGCATTATGTTTCTTTCTTGAGTTACTAGCCATGAGTTATCTGTCTTTCCTTTAGTTACTAGCCATGAGTTATCTGTCTTTCCTTTAGTTACTAGCCATGAGTTATCTGTCTTTCTTTAGTTACTAGCCATGAGTTATCTGTCTTTCCTTTAGTTACTAGCCATGAGTTATCTGTCTTTCCTTTAGTTACTAGCCATGAGTTATCTGTCTTTCCTTTAGTTACTAGCCATGAGTTATCTGTCTTTCCTTTAGTTACTAGCCATGAGTTATCTGTCTTTCCTTTAGTTACTAGCCATGAGTTATCTGTCTTTCCTTTAGTTACTAGCCATGAGTTATCTGTCTTTCCTTTAGTTACTAGCCATGAGTTATCTGTCTTTCCTTTAGTTACTAGCCATGAGTTATCTGTCTTTCCTTTAGTTACTAGCCATGAGTTATCTGTCTTTCCTTTAGTTACTAGCCATGAGTTATCTGTCTTTCCTTTAGTTACCAGCCATGAGTTATCTGTCTTTCCTTTAGTAACTAGCCATGAGTTATCTGTCTTTCCTTTAGTTACTAGCCATGAGTTATCTGTCTTTCCTTTAGTTACTAGCCATGAGTTATCTGTCTTTCCTTTAGTTACTAGCCATGAGTTATCTGTCTTTCTTTTAGTTACCAGCCATGAGTTATCTGTCTTTCCTTTAGTAACTAGCCATGAGTTATCTGTCTTTCCTTTAGTTACTAGCCATGAGTTATCTGTCTTTCCTTTAGTTACTAGCCATGAGTTATCTGTCTTTCCTTTAGTTACTAGCCATGAGTTATCTGTCTTTCCTTTAGTTACTAGCCATGAGTTATCTGTCTTTCCTTGGCTTGATGACCCATTCAGCATACGGGTTGATCCGGTGTAGTTCCATCATATTGGTCCTGGGGTCCAAACATCTCTCAGCTGTAGAGAGAGAAACAATTGTCACAATGGGTCTCAGCAACTTTCATGTAGAGGTAACTAACTAGGATAAATGGAACAAGGATGTAAACTGAACTAGATTCTATATGTAACAGAAGATGACAAGTAGTTCTGAATTTAGCATTTTTATTTGAAAAAAAAATTCTAAATTGACTTTGTATTTATAAGCAATGGCTTGAGATGTTTCTAGTGAGAGAGAAAAATTAGTTTAAAAAGGTGTTATGTCCCTTGGCTAAGTTGTAAAATTATGAAGGGTGTCTACAACCATACTACAGTATCATACAATATTTCTTTTGTGCTTTAAATATTAAAGCGTGTGTGTTATTGTTTTTAATATTGTAAGTTTGTTTGCGTTATTGATATACATATTTAAGATGTGTGTAGATCATTGATTTAAATATTTAAAGTTTATAAAATTTATTTAAATATTTTAAGCATGTGTTATTGATTTAAATATTTTAAGCATGTGTTTGTTATTGATTCAAATATTTTAAGCCTGTGTGTGTTATTGATTAACCTCAAGCAAACAAAAACTAGTTTTCACAGCAGGTGAGAGTAATGTTTTTCCTTACCTATGTTTCCCCCCACCTCAAACAAACAATCAGAATCATGAGCATATTGTGCATTGTTGGGATTGACATAAGTATGACCAGCCTTTTCTTCCACGCCTCCTATGGTACTGGGGAGAGACAACAACAGTTACGTTATAGAAAAACTTACAGGTTTCTCCATTTATTATATACACAGACAACAGCTTTTTAAAACACAGCGGTTAAAGAACACTGGGATACTGCCTACATGCTGTTTAGAATACACATATTGAAGAGAATTAGGCCTTAAACTATTGAGTACATAGAATTTGAGAATGAAGTCTTATAATATTGTGTACATAGAATATGAGAAGGAGATCCTACACTATTGTGTACACAGGATTTGAGAAAGAGATCCTAAACTTTACATAGAATATGAGAGAGACCCTAAACTGTACATAGAATAATATGGGAATGAGACCTTGCAATATTGTGTGCACAGAATTTGAGAAAGAGAGCCTACACTAGTGTGTATATAGATTTTGAGAAAGAGACCCTACACTGTACACAGAATATGAGAAAGAGAGCCTACACTGTACATAGAATATCGGAATGAAACCTTGTATTGTACACAGAATATGAGAAAGAGACCCTACACTATTGAGTGAATAGAATATGAGAAAGAGAGCCTACACTATTGAGTGAATAGAATTTGAGAAAGAGACCCTACACTATTGTGTACAGATCAGATACCTGTGCTCAGAAGACTTGCTGACTTGATCCCACTTGAACTTGGCCACCACATCAGCTGCTGTAGTGGACTGGTCCAGTGCTATGAAGGCGTAGGTTTTTGTCAGGTTTGGGGCCTGAACTTTGATATAACCATCCTGGGCTTCAGGCTGCTGGGGGATGGGATAAACACATTGGTAACTAGGGGATGGGATAAACACATTGGTAACTAGGGGATGGGATAAACACATTGGTAACTAGGGGGATGGGATAAACACATTGGTAACTAGGGTATTAGGCTTCTCATACAGCCACCTAGACTCCACATGATTCCAGCCAATTTTGTTCTGATGAAGCTTGTTCCACCTTTGCTTAGATCTAGCATATTTTCACCCCCCCCCCCCCCCCTGTTCCAACCTAAAACCCACCTGTTCAGGTTTCTTGTACACCTCTGATCTGTCTTTCTTCCTTGAGAACTTGGATAACTGAAAAACAAAAGGGGCATCATATGATGTGTTCAGGCCTTACATTTTTTTTACACTGGAACCTCCTAAACTTATTCTATAACACTGTAACACAGAAGCAACTGGTGCTTAGTTAAGACATCTACTGTCATACACTGACATCTAGTGACATCTACTGTCATACACTGACATCTAGTGACATCTACTGTCATACACTGACATCTAGTGACATCTACTGTCATACACTGACATCTAGTGACATCTACTGTCATACACTGACATCATAATTAACTGGTAGGAACCTTTAAAAGATCATCATCAAACCCAGCTGTTTACAAAAACCAAATTTTGTTAGAACCTACCAAGCCATCTTTGGATTTTCTGTGAGCCTCTGTTGTATACTGATGCCTAATTTGGGCAATAAATGTTGTCGGAATCTGGAAAAACAATGTTTCAAAATCACAAAAACTCATTTTTTACATCAAAAAACCAATAAAAGAACAACAATGTTCAAACCATTTTACTTGAACAAGTTCATTAAGAAACAAGAAATGTGTGTAACGTACCGTCCACAGCACATCTTGGTAGGTCACCAACATCTTGACAATGTTGGAGGTACCCGCTGCCTTCTTGAGCTCCACCTCTAGGTCTGGCTTCTCTTTATTGCTTTTTGAGGGCATCAGAAACAGGTTAGGGGCCATAATCATTGCTACATTGTTCAGGCCCATCTTATTTCTATTACTGTGTGAAATAATATTCCGTAAAAATCTGAGGAGCACCTGACAAGGACAAAAGGAATGGATTATGTTCAAGGCGACAAAAACAATTCAAATTCAATAACATTTTAAAATAAAATGTTATTCCAAAATAATAAAATATATCAGCTTTTAAGTGGTCTTGTTTAATTAACGAATAGATGTTTTATTAATTAGGAGACGGCAAGTATTTAGCAAGCAACTGACCTTTAATGTATCTCTATGTTCATCAGTCAACAATATAATCAATAAATTTAAAGCTTTCAATTGCTCAATTATTTTATTAATTAGGAGACAGCAAGTAACTGACCTTTAATGTATCTCTATGTTCATCAGTCAACAATATAATCAATAAATTTAAAGCTTTCAGCTGCTCAAGAACATGAGGAATACCTGAAGATACACACAAGTTACTTGTTAGGATCTAGAAAAAAACTTATAGTTAAAGAATGTTTTCTCTGGTGGTTGATACTAATTTATTCTTATAACCTCTATTGACATCTTTAATCTTTAAGCCCGGTCCTTTAAATGCCTCTTTTTGAAAGCTAAAGTGGTGTAGAAAATATGGCTTCCCCCAATTTTCCATTTATTAAATAACTTGCCATATTTATTTATTTATTTTCATTGAAGGAGATAATTTAAAATTGATTTTTGGAACAGCTTTTGATTTTTTCAAATTAAGTTGGAATAAATAAATAGATTGAAAAATATTGGTTTATTTGGTATAATATCCTCAACTGGTACAATCGTATTTTTGTGGGATGAGTGGAAAAGCTACTTCTCTGTATACCAACAGAGTCTATCTCTAGTATACTAGCTAGCAGCCTTAACCCAGCCACTTACTGCTGATATGAGGAAAGGCGTCCAGGTACTCAGAAGACAGGAGAGGGATAGGAAGCTCCCTCAGAAACTGTTTGAAGACCACAGCCACATCGTGGACGCCAGCGTCCCCCCATGTGAAAAGTCCCTGGTAAAACTTGTCCTCTATGTCCTGGCGCAGTTGCTGCAAGAGAAGGTGGGATCAATCAACACAGCTGCTTTTTATACACTTTTTTTAGTCTGTTTGTTGGTTTGTGGGTTTGTGGAAAATATTGAATCTCAATTATAACAATAAAAATGAATTGAAAGCCAATAAATACAGTACTTTACACTATTTTCGATTTATTTATTAATAAGTTTATTTATGTGATAAAGAATAAAAGGAGGGGGTTTGACTTTACCCTAGCCCTTGTATTAATAACTTTATTTATGTGATAAAGAATAAAAGGAGGGGGTTTGACTTTACCCTAGCCCTTGTATTAATAACTTTATTTATGTGATAAAGAATAAAACGAGGGGGTTTGACTTTACCCTAGCCCTTGTATTAATAACTTTATTTATGTGATAAAGAATAAAAGGAGGGGGTTTGACTTTACCCTAGCCCTTGTATTAATAAGTTTATTTATGTGATAAAGAATAAAAGGAGGGGGTTTGACTTTACCCTAGCCCTTGTATTAATAACTTTATTTATGTGATAAAGAATAAAAGGAGGGGGTTTGACTTTACCCTAGCCCTTGTATTAATAAGTTTATTTATGTGATAAAGAATAAAACGACGTGGTTTGCCTTACCCTCGCCCTTGTTTCAGCACCAGAAACTCTTAAAATGCCCTCAGCATACAGGCCCTCTTTCTCTAGGAATTCAACCATCTGTAAAATTAATAATTGATTTAAAGCTAATTAGTATTGAGAGGTAGGTAGCATAGATCCTCAGGAATCAAAACACAATTAGATCTAAGTCTTTTAAAAAAGTAATGGTAAAGTAAGGAAAAAATACCTTTTGAAAAACTATGGGAGTTTTGGTACCAGGCTGTCTTTTTTGGTCTTGTTCAATTAGAAGTTCCAATGGTACTCCGAAAATGCCATTGTCTTTAATGCAAAATAAATTCAAAATTATAGATAGACAGGATGTTATGAAAAATTTACATAAACAAAGATAGCTTAATATTTTCATTTACACCACAATACAACTTACTACTTTATATTTTAATGTACATCACAATATTAACATAATGATGAAATCAATGAATATTAGGCCTATTTTATTTTTTTAAACATGTTTTCAATACTCTATTTTATCCTAAATTTAAAAATCTACTAACCTTTTAGCTTTTTCTTGCGTTTTGGTCGAGAATGTATAATATTGTAAGCATCAAATAAAGCGGTCAGCTCTATATGTGACAAGTGTTTAATTTTCTCCATATCACATTCAGCAATGTCACCAATATGTGTCACCCCTAGTGCATCTGGTTTGGGCTCAAAAGCCTGAAGAAATACAGACAATATTTAGAACAAAGTATAACTGTGTTACTTAGCTCAGAGCAAAATAAAAATTTAAAGAAAAATGTGTACTACTAAATAACTATTTACAAAGGCTAAAATACAAACCTTCTTTTTAGAACCTGTAATTAAGTATAATTATTAAATTGACAGCTTAAAAGTTTAAATCTTAACATTTATTTGATAATTTTGTTTTCGATTTCTAATTTTAACGTCTTCGTTATCTTTGTCACACACTACTAAAAGAATGAAATTTTTGACAAAGTTTAAAATCATATCTCTAATTAATTTTAAAAATTTATTTAAAAAAAAAACTTTGTTGTTAAAACTTTAGTATTTACTGCGTTACTTCATACTTCGATGACTCTGTTAGACGATCAAAGAGTGACATTAACAAAGACAAAGAGCTATACTGAATCATGCCTATATCTCTACATAGAACTAACTTGCCTCAAAATTTATCATGAGACCTATATTATAAACTCTCATATAGAGTATCTTTGCTGAATCCTAACCACAACTTCAAATAAAAGAAGAGATTAACTCAACCCTAACAAAAAACTCCACAAAGAACAAATAGGCATCAACACTCCTCATAAGCAGAGTTCCCTCTAAGTAGCACAGTCACTCTGCCATCCAGTAGCTGTCAGTCTGACACAGCCATTTTGTATTTACCCTTCTACATGTCATGTCAGAGCACCATGCACACAAAATATATATAGCACACAAGCCATGCTCCTTAGAGGGAATGTTACTCATGAGAGTTTATTCCAATTACTTGGCTAGTTTTTATTGTATAATAGGGCTGTCTACATTTAAAACAATTTTCCACATTTAAAAAAGGTCAATCCATAATTATGTCAATATAAACAAAACTGTAATTTCTGTGTAAAAACAGTTAAATAATTACAAAAATTGTATCAGTAGGCAGCCCTGGTTATGTTTCCTGATCAAAGGTATCATTGTTGTTATTTATGTAGAGTATATGGGATTAATCATTTTAAACAGAAATTTACATTTGGTTACTCTTTAAATCTGGTTACAGTCTAAATATTTTTTCAGTTTTAAATCATATCTTTATGTTTGAACAAAAGAAAATTGCTTACGTCAAAGGTATGTCTTTTTAAATGCTGTAAAAAATGTGTTCTTTCACACCAAATATATAACACTCATAACTAATATGTCACTCACAATAATATACCTCACTCATATCTTATATCTCACATGCACCTAGTATATCTTACTCACAACCAATATTTCTCACGCACAAGTAATATATCCAATGCATCTCTAAAAAATATCACTCACAAACATTATCACTCACAAACATATCTTTCTCACAGCTAATATACTACTGCATCACTAAAATATATCACTCACAAACATTATCACTCACAAACATTATCACTCACAAACATTATCACTCACAAACATATCTTTCTTACAGCTAATATATGTACTGCATCACTAAAACATATCACTCACAACTAATATGCCACATACAACAAATATATCTTTCTCACAACTGTTCCATGTAAAATATTTGACCCAGACAACAAAAACAAGCTGACCACTAGACTAAAGTAACTGACAACCCTACTTACAGGGAGATCTATTCTGTGAGGGTCTGGGAAGGTTGAGACAGGGGAGATAGTCTGGAACTGAGAGGGGAAACAACCATTGGAACAAAATTGCTTCAATCATTTATCAAATGTTTCATGAAATTTTTCTTAAATTGCACTAGTGTTATCAACTATCTAGCACTATAAAAAAAGTGGCATTCCAAAACAAAAACAAAAAAGTGGCATTCCAAAAAAAATAAATAAAAAAAGATAATATATTGTGCAAAGAAGTTGTAAATAGTGACGAGAATTAGAAAAACTTATTTTAGTTTTTCTTTGAAAATAAAAAAAAAATTATTAAAAATTAGTTAGAAAAAAAAATTAGTTTAATATTTAATAATAAAAAATATTAGCGTTATCTTTTTTTTAAAATGCAGACAAAATATTAAGCACTAGCTATTTTATTTCAAATGTTTCAGACAGATAGAGTACTTTCTAGTGAGGTCTACTTTTAAACTGATTTTCTGATTTTAAAGGGAGTTGCTATTTTTTGCTGCATGCAATGGTAAATAGAGCAGGGGACATTACTCACATCTCATGCTAACTTATGTGCTCCTTTTTTCTGCATCCAGCATGTGTGTTATGTTGGTTAAACAAACATTACTACAGGGTGAGAAGTTAAACTGGGGTGAGCAGATACAAGCTGGGACATTCACAAACATGTTGCACATCATGCACTCAGTACCGCAGATTATAGTTATAAATCATGCACTCAGTACCGCAGATTATAGTTATAAATCATGCACTCAGTACCATAGATTACAGTTGTAAATCATGCACTCAGTACCATAGATTACAGTTATAAATCATGCACTCAGTACCATAGATTACAGTTGTAAATCATGCACTCAGTACCATAGATTACAGTTATAAATTATGCACTCAGTACCATAGATTACAGTTATAAATCATGCACTCAGTACCATAGATTACAGTTATAAATCATGCACTCAGTACCATAGATTACAGTTGTACATCATGCATTCAATACCATAGATTATGCTGATAGTTTTTCATCATGCACTCAGTACTATAGATTACATTTGACTATCATGCACTCAGCACTATAAATTATGCTGATAGATTATCTTCATGCACTCAGTACCAAAGATTACATTTTGTCAGTTAAGCAGTAGTAAATGGCTATTATAATTTTGTAAATGTATATTAGTCGCATCAATCAAACTAGATCTAGTAGCAAACGTAATTATTTGTAAATCTTAAATTAATTGTTATAAGAAAGTATGCTTAAGCAGTCAAAAATAAAATAAATCTGAACCAAAACAACATTTGTGGCTTTAGAAGCAGTGTGTGTAAAGTAAGCTCTAGCTATACAGCAAGGATAGGTTTAATGTGGCCACACTAGACCAGTGGTCTGAATGTTAAACTAGCAATGGTACAACCTATGCTTGACCGGTGGTCTAAATGTTAAACTAGCAATGGTACAACCTATGCTTGACCAGCGGTCTGAATGTTAAACTAGCAATGGTATAACCTGTGCTTGACCAGTGGTCTAAATGTTAAACTAGCAATGGTACAACCTATGCTTGACCAGCGGTCTGAATGTTAAACTAGCAATGGTATAACCTGTGCTTGACCAGTGGTCTAAATGTTAAACTAGCAATGGTACAACATATGCTTGACCAGTGGTCTGAATGTTAAACTAGCATTGTACAACCTATGCTTGACCAGTGGTCTGAATGTTAAACTAGCAATGGTACAACCTGTGCTTGACCAGTGGTCTGAATGTTAAACTAGCAATGGTACAACCTGTGTTAGACCAGTGGTCTAAATGTTAAACTAGCAATGGTACAACCTATGCTTGACCAGTGGTCTAAATGTTAAACTAGCAATGGTACAACCTGTGTTAGACCAGTGGTCTGCATGTTAATTTAATAAAGAACAACCTGTGCTAGACCAGTGGTCTGAATGTTAAAATAACCAATAGTCCACATACTGGATATGACCGCTGGATAAATCATGAAGAATCTACATTCAAATTTTCATCAACTTTTGCCATTTGTGCCCAAGACACATGGGGCAGCACATTCAAATTTTACCATCCAGTAATATTAAGAAATACTCCCTCCATTGTATGTAGACAGATTTCTAACAATGAAAATATCTCCATCATCTGTCATTGATATCTGTTTCAGTTGTGTTATATGCAGGATGTCCATGCTAAGTAATATTGTATGTGACTGCTTGCATTAGATGCCTGTGGTGAGTTACTACAATCACAAGGCTGACGCACATCAGCTTATAAAGATTTAAACACTGACAAGCTACAATGGTACATAGGTACATTTTCAATTTTGCCAAATTTAAATAAGTAATTCATGCTTATATAAAGTCAGTGTAAAAAAAGTATACTTGAGGTATATGGAATAGTAGGTATAGGGTAGACAGGAAATAATATTAGAAATCCAGAGAAAAACAAGGCAAGATATACAGTAGCACAAAACTCAATGGCTAAAAGAAAGGCTGTGAGTGGCTAGGAATTGAGAAGGAAAGTATAGAAATAAAATAGTTAAATAATAATGAATGGCATTTGCCCAGAATACTCTCCATGTGAATATTAAATTTTTTCACTTGTGCAATGTCCGACTTGTACTTGATTATAAATTTGGATATGTGGCCTCAAAATTTTTAAAATATTATTTAAGTTCTATGTCTTGCAAATACATACATTGTTTCAAATCTTCAATTAAGTTAAAGGTTTGTTTTTGTTAATATGTAAAATTACTCGGGAGTCAAACCAAAAACGTGGGTTAGTCTACGTCCAACAATTATGATCTGGTCGCCCTCAAGCAACTGGGCAGATGCCATTAGAAAATTGAAAGTAGTGTTTCCTCCTGAGCTGGAATATTGAAGGATGTATCAAGGACTGGTGGCAGCTGGAGAAGTGTGGCTAGAAGAATGTTGAATGTATCAGAATTGAGAGTAGTATAGCATCAACCTTGGGCTAGAAGAATGTTGAATGTATCAGAATTGAGAGTAGTATAGCATCAACCTTGGGCTAGAAGAATGTTGAATGGATCAGAAGTGAGAGTAGTATAGCATCAACACTGGGCTATAAGAATATTGAATGGATCAGAATTGAGAGTAGTATAGCATCAACCCTGGGCTAGAAGAATGTTGAATGGATCAGGATTGTGAGTAGTATAGCATCAACACTAGGCTAGAAGAATGTTGAATGGATCAGAATTGTGAGTAGTATAGCATCAACCTTGGGCTAGAAGAATGTTGAATGGATCAGAATTGAGAGTAGTATAGCATCAACCCTGGGCTAGAAGAATGTTGAATGGATCAGAATTGAGAGTAGTATAGCATCAACCCTGGGCTAGAAGAATGTTGAATGGATCAGGATTGAAAGTAGTATAGCATCAACCCTGGGCTAGAAGAATGTTGAATGGATCAGAATTGAGAGTAGTATAGCATCAACCCTGGGCTAGAAGAATGTTGAATGGATCAGAATTGAGAGTAGTATAGCATCAACCTTGGACTAGAAGAATGTTGAATGGATCAGAATTGAAAGTAGTATAGCATCAACCTTGGACTAGAAGAATGTTGAATGGATCAGAATTGAAAGTAGTATAGCATCAACCCTGGGCTAAATGAATGTTGAATGGATCAGAATTGAGAGTAGTATAGCATCAACCCTGGGCTAGAAGAATGTTGAATGGATCAGAATTGAGAGTAGTATAGCATCAACCCTGGGCTAGAAGAATGTTGAATGGATCAGAATTGAGAAAAGTGTATGCTGAGTCCTGGGCTAGACTTAGAAAATGTGAATGCTGGTAACCAACTAGAGTTGGGTGGCAGCTCAAACAGACAGAGTGCAGACATTGGCTTGAGCAACAAGACATAAAGCCATAACAGACGTACCTTATCCGAGTCTTCCTGGTTAAAGTCTAATGAGATTTTTAAACAGACAGAGTGCAGACATTGGCAACAAGACATAAAGCCATAACAGACGTACCTTATCCGAGTCTTCCTGGTTGAAGTCTAATGAGATTTCCATGTCAGAGACAGAGGACAGGTGAGAGAATTGGTCAGTGGGGCTGCTCCTACTTTGGGTGCGTGGGTGCACACCTAATGTTGCTATACCTTTGGTAATAAAAAAATTTAATTAAGCATTTTTTTAATGTATACAATTGTTTTTTCATTTCATTGTTTGCATTAAAAAAAAAATTACAACCCTTATTTTGTATGAAATATCTGACATTTTTCAAGCATTTTGTTGCTATGAAATAGTGCTCTGATATATTTTTATTTAGAATAATCAATACTACTTTGTCATTAGGATTAATTACAAGCCATTAATCATAATACTAGCAAGGAAATTCACTCAAACAATAAGGTCGTGTATCAACCCAAAAAACAAATATAAATGCAACACATTTTTTGTGTAAGTATACATTTCAAATCAAACAACGACTTTGTGTTGAAAACAGAGTTTGTGTAACAATTCTCCTTATTATTTTTAATAACTGTAACAAATATTAACCCGCCACAATAATTGTAAAAGTAATGCCATGCCTGCTTCAACATCTTCTGTGATCTCGTTGCTAACCCCTGACATGGAGTAGCCTCCCTTGTGTACAAATCCCCCTGACCTAGGTTCAGGTGACTTGGTGATGTGCCTACTGGGGGATGGCCGAGGCATGGTAAATGCATGGTTCTGTTTCTCCTGGTAGGTAGGGGAACAAACATTGCTACATACACATCCTCTTTTATTACATTTGATATACATGAGGAAAAATTGTGCTAAAATAAAATGTTTTTTTTTAAATTCAAACAAAACAAAAATTATCAAATTAGTTTAATTCAACTATGGGTCATCCATAAATGATGTCGCGCTTTTTTGACGATTTTTACCTTCCCCCCCCCCCCCCCCCACATTGTCACAAAAAACCCGACCACCCCCTTAAAATGATGTCACACCTCAACCAACAGCCCCCACAAAATTGCAGTTAAATTTTTCTAAAAATACTACATTTTTCCAAAATGTATTCTGAATTCTATCAGCATAGAGTATTTTAATCAATTCTTACTACAATTTATTTAAAACAGTTTTGTAAAATGCAAAATAACGGCTAAAATTCATTTTTAACATTGCTTTTTTATAATGTAAAAATGTGACGTCACACCATCTGACCCTACCCCCCTTCCCCCTCATCACACACCTTCACAAAATTATGGACCCCCCTCCCCCCTACGAGTGTGACATCATTTATGGACGACCCCTATACATTTTTTTATCCATGTGTGTTACATGTGTGTTAGTTGAATTATATCAATGAGTTTCCTATACTAAGTTGTTAAAAGTAAGCTTTAACTACCTATAACCTTTGAGTGTAAACTTTGACCACCAACTCAATGTTTGCATTAAATTAGCCACACAATAAAATATAGATTATTTCCATAAGTTCAACAAAAAATTAAACTTAATAATAAAGGAGTTCAGTCCAGTAAAAAAATGTATCAAGACAAAAACCTGTGTGTGAAGGTCACGCGGAGGTGTAAATATATCCCTGTGAGGGAGGCCGTCATGTTGGGATGGAAATATATCCCTGACGTGAATCTTGTTGCTTTTGTCTTTTCTGCGCACTGTTGTGCTGACTATGCTGATTCGCTTGTGTACAGCCTCCGCCTGGGCTCTGGTCAGAGAGCTGGTCAGATGTTCAAGGTCACTGTCTGACAGGTCTTTACCATCTGGAGAAAACATGGTGACATAGGGTTAAAACTTACATTCATTGGTGTCATGGTGACAGGGATTAAAACTTACATTCATTGGTGTCATGGTGACATAGGGATTAAAACTTACATTCATTGGTGTCATGGTGACAGGGATTAAAACTTACATTCATTGGTGTCATGGTGACAGGGATTAAAACTTACATTCATTGGTGTCATGGTGACAGGGATTAAAACTTACATTCATTGGTGTCATGGTGACATAGGGATTAAAACTTACATTCATTGGTGTCATGGTGACAGGGATTAAAACTTACATTCATTGGTGTCATGGTGACAGGGATTAAAACTTACATTCATTGGTGTCATGGTGACATAGGGATTAAAACTTACATTCATTGGGGACATGGGCAATCAAAACTTACATTCATTAGTGATGTGGTTCACACTGGCAATCAAAACTTACATTCATTAGTTACACGTGACGTAGGTGATTAAAACTTACATTCATTGGGGACATAGTTCACACAGGCAATCAAAAGTTATATTAATCATTGACATGACATAGACAATCCAAAGTTGCTGGTATAAAATGATATAAATTTATTGTACCAACCTTTAATTTTACTAACAATAAACCCATATCCTGCTTTGTCCAGCCAGGCTTCCTCTGCTTCACCTTCTGTAATTGTAAACATAGAAGTGGTTCATGACAAATGGTGGGGAAAATATGTATCTACTTCAAATTACTAAGTCATTCAAAAAATTAATAAAATACAGATAATCTTTCAAAAAATTAATAAAATACAGATAATCTTTCAAAAAATTAATAAAATACAGATAATCTTTCAAAAAATTAATAAAATACAGATAATCTTTCAAAAATTAATAAAATACAGATAATCTTTCAAAAAAATTAATAAAAGACGGATAATCTTTCAAAAAATTAATAAAATACAGATAATGAGCAGTAAATAATAGAGCAACATGACCATCCCCCACAGTTACAACAAAAGCTAGGGGTATTAGAATCTACATGATGTGATCAATAATTCAATTGTATCATTTTATAAGACCAAAGTATCACAATGCAGATAGTCTTGTGTAAATCTACCAGAAAAGTAAGTATATCATCATACAACAGAACTGGGTGAGGTGGATCAACAAAAGTAGTCATATTTCAAGACAGACAGTGTTCAAAGACGTGATAGCAAGCTCATGTAAAATTTACTTGATCCATCAGTTTGATGACAAGGTATTTTGTAATGTGCTAATGTGCTAGTGGCAAAGGTATTTTTTTAATGTGCTAGTGACAAAGGTATTTTGTACTGTGCTAGTGACAAAGGTATTTTGTACTGTGGTGGTGACAAAGGTATTTTGTAATGTGCTAGTGACAAAGGTATTTTGTAATGTGCTGGTGGCAAAGGTAATTTTGTAATGTGGTGGTGACAAAGGTATTTTGTAATGTGCTGGTGGCAAAGGTAATTTTGTAATGTGGTGGTGACAAAGGTATTTTGTAATGTGCTAGTGACAAAGGTATTTTGTAATGTGCTGGTGGCAAAGGTAATTTTGTAATGTGGTGGTGACAAAGGTATTTTGTAATGTGCTGGTGACAAAGGTATTTTGTAATGTGCTGGTGACAAAGGTATTTTGTAATGTGCTAGTGATAAAGGTATTTTGTAATGTGCTAGTGATAAAGGTATTTTGTAATGTGGTGGTAACAAAGGTATTTTGTAATGTGCTGGTGACAAAGGTATTTTGTAATGTGCTAGGTGTTATAGACAGGTGAGGTAGTAGATCTTCAGGTGACAAAGGTATTTTGTTATGTGCTAGTGGCAAAGGTATTTTGTACTGTGCTAGTGCTAACACTACTTAACACGTAACTTCCCAGCCAACAGAGAAGAAACGGTGCTACATCACTAACAGGATCAAGTTAGTCAAACAAATTATTGTCTGTAGGTTTACAGCGTTGATTTATTTAAATTAACTGATTTGCTTGATAATAAAGTAATTCAGCTCTTAAGAACATGCTTGAAAATATTTTTAATCCACCATTAATTCTGCCCCTTTCTTAACTAGTGACGTAAAAATAAAAAAATGCCTAACAAAATAGTATTTTAAAAAAGTAACCGAAAAATTGTATTTTAAAAAAGTAGCCGCAAACATAAACGTATTTTAAAAAGTAAGTAGCCACGTTGAATAGGCCTGAGTGGGGGTTGCTGGTGTGTACGCTTAATTTAGAACACTAATTGGTGTAAACAGTTCGGCAAATAATTGACGCAGCTCCTGTTGGTAGCAGGGGACGCTACCCAGGGCTAATCGTTGCTTCAAACATCTCTCCAATTAAGGTAAAGTTTTTAAGGTGAAGAATAAACGATAGTATGCTACCTATACAGTGTACATCGTGCATAATCCCCTGAACGCCCCCTACCTCCCCCACACAAGCGCGCGGACGTACACTCGCACACATAAAGGTGGAGGGGGATAGTTAAGGTACTACGCATGAATAGACAAAAAAAAAAAAAAACAACCATTTACTTAATGAAACAGTTTGGCTTTACATTAGGACGAACAGGGATAAACAACTGGCATGTTTTGATTAGTCTCTTCAATATTTGATGGAGATGACAGACCAAATATTTTACGTGACGTGTGTAGTTGTGACAGTTGAAGTATAGCTACGACACAGTGTTTCTTTCAAGTATCCCCCAAACCCGAACGAAATAGAATTTTTTATTTACCAGTGTACCCCCCCCCTCCCTCCGCAGAAAAAAAGTCTGAAAGAAACACTGCTATGATCATATGAAAATAGCTCAAGCAGAGGTTTCCCAAGTTACTGTTAATACGCCAATTATTTTTTTTTTAAATTCGGCGCCCGTACCCTTCTCATTACACATTTTTAACCCGATGTTTGCAGTAAATAGTATAACAACACATATTGTTCTACACTTTAATTGAACGAACTATCCGTAGTTGAACAATTTTGTAATTGAGATAGGAAATAACTTCCAACAAAAGGATAGTCGATACATTGCAAAGGTCACTTGCATCTATAACGGAGATATAACTATATTTGCATCATATAAATATAAAATAATGAATAGTTCAGCATATAGCTTAGGTGAGCGTGTTTTTATTTAATCAGATCGTATAATTTAGTGAAACGTTTCTTGTCTATCCTGGCTATAGTCCGAGCCTCCCAGTTAGGGACTTGTAAAACCAATGTAGAATAACTTATAGAGATGGAGGATGTACATCAGCCTTAGTATTAAAGTTGAGACGGCACTTTGTCAGATGTATTCAACATGTTCGCTGTACTAACAGCTGCTTTTTCCTAACAAACAGAAGATTCAATGTTTATTTAACTTTTTAAAAAAAAGTACTCAGTCGTCTACCAGCATTGTTTTAAAAACGCTGAGTGCCAGAAAACGCCGGATCGAAAAAAAAAACACGACCTTGACCTTGGATCGGGTGCGATCAATACAAAAGCATGGCACTGACAATTGCCAGCCGTGCTACACTCGGCGGTAAACTTGAGAACTCACGCGTGGCATTTAGAACGTCATGTCAACTGGCGGGGGGGGGGGGGGAGGTAGTGGAGGAGGGGGGGTAGTGGAGGGAGAGGGGGAGGTAGTGCTGTAACCGGGGGGCACGGGAGTGTATGGGAGCAATTTATGAGGTGGGGCACGGTGGTGATAAGACCGGAACACGAGGGTGTCCGGTGGGGGACGGGGGAATTCTAAGGTAGGGCACGGTGAGGTAGACGTCAGGACTACGACTCGGGCACGAATGTGGGTAATACTGCTGTCAATTTTCCTGTCTCCTGATAAACGAGTCGACATGGGCAACTATATCGTTCACTCACATACACACTCAAATATGTATGGGCTATCTGCCTATAAAGATCTACCCGCCACTATATTCTAGTGCAAACATGTAGAAAAGATAATACATAAAGCAAAACTGGTTTGATACTTGGAACACATTCATCATAAACGTTACATCAATACAAACTGGAGCGAGAAGGTTATGATGACCAGTATACATCGATTTCCGCCTTCCCATTCATTGATTATTTTGTTCGAACATTTTTTTAAACTTTATTTCCTAAATCATTTATTTAGCTATTCATTAACGTCCTTAGCGTCATTGCAGTCTGCTCCGTTATAAATTTTATACTAGAATTGATTATTTTATTTGAGGAATATATGTTACTTGCAGAGTAGAGATATATGCAAGTAAAAGACTCTGCTTAAGAGGCGTTTACTATGTCCACGGGGGGGGGGGGTGTACTGAAACAAGAAATGTAGACCAACAGAGTCAACAGATGTATTCTCAAATTTATCGTCGTTGAATCAATAAACCGGTTTTAAAAGTGTTTACTGAAGATAAGGTTTAAAGACGGGTTAAATGTTCTACTGATGAAGAAAGGAAGTAGGTTTGAAGACGGAAAGACGGGTTAAATGTTCCGATGATGGTGAAAGGAAGTAGGTTTAAAGACGGGTTAAATGTTCTAGTAATGGTGAAAGGAAGTAGGTTTAAAGACGGGTTAAATGTTCCGATGATGGTGAAAGGAAGTAGGTTTAAAGACGGGTTAAATGTTCCGATGATGGTGAAAGGAAGTAGGTTTAACGACGGGTTAAATGTTCCGATGATGGTGAAAGGAAGTCGGTTTAAAGACGGGTTAAATGTTCCGATGATGGTGAAAGGAAGTAGGTTTAAAGACGGGTTAAATGTTCCGATGATGGTGAAAGAAAGTAGGTTTAAAGACGGGTTAAATGTTCCGATGATGGTGAAAGGAAGTAGGTTTAAAGACGGGTTAAATGTTCCGATGATGGTGAAAGAAAGTAGGTTTAAAGACGGGTTAAATGTTCCGATGATGGTGAAAGAAAGTAGGTTTAAAGACGGGTTAAATGTTCCGATGATGGTGAAAGGAAGTAGGTTTAAAGACGGGTTAAATGTTCCGATGATGGTGAAAAAAGTAGGTTTAAAGAACGGGTTAAATGTTCCGATGATGGTGAAAGGAAGTAGGTTTAAAGACGGGTTAAATGTTCCGATGATGGTGAAAGAAAGTAGGTTTAAAGACGGGTTAAATGTTCCGATGATGGTGAAAGAAAGTAGGTTTAAAGACGGGTTAAATGTTCCGATGATGGTGAAAGAAAGTAGGTTTAAAGACGGGTTAAATGTTCCGATGATGATGAAAGGAAGTGAGATACGCTCCTCCGGTGTGTGCCGCTCTCGTTAAAGCAATGCCAGGTGTTGAGAGATTAAAAATAGAGAGCAATGCTCAGAATCATTCCGTGCATTCACGGCGAAGAATAGGGAAATAGCCTCCCCTTGCTGAATGATGACCTTTAGGCCTAACTCTGGCCTAACAAGCCGGAAATAACATGGTGTTCGAACCAGGCTTGAGTTATCGTTACTGACTCCCCTGTTGAAGGCAGGGTAAATACAGCCATTTACAATCTGTCTTACCCAACGTTGGGTAAATAAATAGGCCTACACGATGTTTCAAGAATTGTATTCTATTTGTTGTAACGAGGCAGGGTAAATACAGCCATTTACATTCTGTCTTACCCAACAAAGCTGGCGTTAGGTAAATAAATACACAATGTTTCAATGAAGAATCAAAGGTGTTGCTCCTCAAGAATTGTATTCTATTTATTGTAACGAGTTTTGCTCAAGAAGATGTAGATTCTATACATAATGTATTGTAATAAAAACAAAGTACGTGGGAATATGAAATAATATTTATCTGTGAATATTTATGGTCTGACGAAGATTAAGCTCTACACTTCCCGATTTAAGTCTAACTTATGTATTGATTCAGTTATACATGGTACACAGACAAATCGAACATGCATATAATGTGTAGGCCCTATAACTTGATAAGTTTGTAATAAAACATTCAAAGAAAAGGTCATGGAGTACGTTTACATCACATTGAAAGAAATTGCCATCAAAAGTCTACCACAGGATTATGCCTACTAGTGCTACACAATAGGACATGCCCACCAGTGCTACACAATAGGACATGCCCACCAGTGCTACACAATAGGACATGCCCACAAGTGCTACACAATAGTAATTGCACCGTGCTACGCTATGAAATCTTTATGCAGTCATGCTCGTCTATGTTAATAGTTCAAATCTTGCGCAATCCTAGCATGTTTGGATGGTAACTGGTAACGTATCGATAAAAGCTTGTGACGATTCCAGGATGGGACACGAGGACCACTTAGAAGGAATCAACGTTCTGCCATTACAAGAACAAGAGCAGTGTAGGTTTAGGCCTAGTTGTAACGGTCGTTTTACAGCATTAGGACCAGGCTATACAAATGTCAACCTTAAGCTGATGTAAACTGGATCTTCATCAGCTAAGTATCAGAGTTTTAGATTGATATACACGTTTGACGCCATTGAGAAGGCTTTTATTACAATGATTCCAACGGGAAAGTTCGTATATAATGACTCCAATGGTAAGGTATTACAAAGATTCAGGAGGGAATGCTCGTATAAATAATGATTCCTAATTGGAAGGCTGGTATACACTAATTTCAAAGGGAAGGTTTGTATACACTGATTCTAATCTGGTACGTTGGGCACAAAGTTACAAACATTCAAGTTGCCATAATAACAGGAACAACAAAAGTCTGAACAAACCACTGTATGCTCGTGTATCTGTCCTCAGGTATGTGGCGGTGTGAACAGGGGGATTGTGTGCACATACAATGGGCATCGTCGCGACAAGTCTTGGGGAGTAAACAGGTGCTTTACGGTTTCTTTCGTTAAAAATTTCCTCTAACAAGTACAAGTTTTTATTTCGAATAAAACAACACATGAGAAAAAAATAAATGTTTGTCCCCAGTTCATTAAAAAATTGAACTAAAGCAGGTGATGTAGTGTATATGCTTGTGTACAGTTCACGAGTAAAATATGAAAGGCTCTCATGCTACACTTGTTTAACCTGTGGGGATTTAAAGCTCCCTCAACAATCGGTATGCGAACTGCAAATATTGGCGCAGAGGAAAATCTTTTTGTTGTGGCTTTAGTAGGTCAAGCTCCGTGTGGACAAAGGCTGGTTAGTTCGATCTAAGGGGCGGCAAAATGTGGGCAATCAACAGATAAGATGGTGGTTTGATATAATGGTCGGAAAGATGTAGGCAATCAACAGATATGATGGGTTGTTCGATCTAAGGGTCGGCAAAATGTAGGCAATCAACAGAAATGTAGGCAATCAACAGATATGATGGTGGTTCGATCTAAGGGTCGGCAAGATGTAGGAAATCAACAAATATTGTGATGGATTTAGAAATAAGAAATAAAGATTTAGTACCTGTTAAGTTTACCGGAAATTGCTCTAAAGTTGATAGAAAACTACGTACACATTCATACATGTGTATAAACTTTCGCCTAACTAACTGAAACGATACGTAAGTTATTGAGTTCACTTACCCCCCCCCCCCCCCCCCCACCTCCCCCAATACACACAAACTCATATTGACAAGATTGCAAAACATGGTTTTTCCGCCCCAGGAAATACTTCCCCTTATACTCCGTATACGAAAAAGGTAAAATAAGTGTGACAGATTTGTATCAAACTATGGTAAAATGTTGCTCAGTGAGGTAAGATCATCAATATTCCAATCAGTAATTGCACCAAAGCTTTCCCTAGAGAATGATAATTGTATATCCCATTAAACCGTTTTAACTACCAGCTTTACCGGGTTGGTTTGAAACTGGTTGCTTCCCTGTCAGCTAGTCACGTGTTCTGGGTTAGGTGTCGGCCACAAATAACGTCACGCTCATTTCACTAGAGTTTATCCCCCATCTCACCTTACTGTCCTCACATAAAAACACTCCTCTTCCGTGTTTCTTTCAGGAATCTCTTCGGGGGTTTACCCGCCCGAAGCATGTATACAACCCTCCCCCCCCCCCCCTCCCACCCTGAACGAAATATAATTAATATAGAAAAAATACATATACTTTTACCCGTGTGTCGACCCCCCCCCCCCCCCGAGAAAAATTTGAAAGAAACACTGCTCCTCTCTTCTCCCCCCCCCCCCCCCCCCCAATGATGCCACAAGACTTTACCCTAACCCTAAATACAAGTCAGCCGAACGAATTCTTAAGCCCCATCTACCTGCCAGGTGTGTACAGTGGAGTTTTTTTAAAATAGACAACCGTTTAGCAGTTGGCCAACTTGTATATGTGTGGTCACTTTCAATTCCTACAAAAAGGGGCAGGACAATATATTAAAGACAGGGTGGTTTTTGCCAGTTTCGCTATTAGTGTTACGATCAAAGTCAATAATAGGGTTAGGAGCAGGACTATCAAGCAGATTATAGCAGAGAAAAAAAAAAAAAAAAAAACTAGAACGTAGATCTATATATACTGCAAACATTTCTATTAACAGATTTACCTAATTGTCTTCATCGTATATTTCAAAAATAAAAATGTGATGTTTTAGCATGTCTAAAAGAAATAGAGATGGGGTGGTATTTTGGGGGTGTTAAATATATGAACTCACCGTCCGGCGTTTTGGACAACTCATCGTCATCGCTGTGTGAGTCGCTCTGCTCTATAGTGTCCCGCTCCTTGAAGTAATCCTCCAGGTCGTTGTTGTGTGCCGCCGCCATCTTGGTGTACAGAGAGGCGCGGGGTTAGTCCATCGAGTCTCCAGCGGCTCTAGTCGTGGGCTTCATCGTACACAGTCCGAGACGTGTGATGCCGCGGAGACCACGGGAACTGGCTAGAATTTATTTCCCTTACACCACTTCCAGTTATTAGAAACAAACGGTCCACTCCATAGAAAAATATCCGCTGATTAAAATCGTGACCATCAAGCGATAAGGAAAAACAAACGAGCTGGGGAAAAAATCTATTCCAGTGCAGGAAATCTTTTCAACTGTACATTATCGTGTTGCCGGTTAGGTGTAATGCAGTTCAACGACAATTCTGAAATAGAGGATGAAAACAGGTTTAATAGGTTAAACATACACATTATTTAACATAACGGGTTAACGTACACATTATTCAGTTCCGCGACATTACTGAAATAGAAGATAACATAGCAGAATGAGTACACACATTATTCAGTTCCACGGCAATTCTGAAATGAATGATAGATACACGTTTCGCTTAGAACATGTTGTGAATGACTTGAAACAACTTATAAACAAAATGTTACCTGAATGTTAAACAGACTGACTGAAACACGTCAAACTTTATACAGGGTAAGTTTAGATAGAAAATATAACCAAGTGCGAGTGCGCATGCTCCACGTGTTGGTTCAAGCTGGCCGAGACAGATGCCCGGCTTAAACATCGACGTCACCAATCACCAGGATGACGCCATCTGCATTAAGCCTCGTCACGTGCAAAGTGTATTATTTTATTTTTACACCAGACCTAGACTGGCACGTGCGGGAGGTGAGGGAGGTGAGGGGACCGGTGGTACCATCACGGACTGCTTTGTTTGGGGCGCCCGCTTGCCTGCTAGAGTCTAGCTATACTTACAGCACAGGTTCATACATAAGCCGGACCGAATCATTCATTCATTACTTTTTTTTCTACATCTACTTGGGTTCCTGACCACACAAGAAAGTTTATTTAATGTGCTTTTGTCTTAACATTGGTTCCTGCATCGTATCTATTTTACTCATTGGGAGAAAATCTATGAAGGCAAGTATTTGACGTGAATTGAAGGCAACAAGTGGTACGAGACTATCCTGGTAATCAAGGTTAATTAGTTGTTTCCAGACACGTTGCGCTCAACATCGTGACTTCCTCGAGGTGACGATACGGGGGGGGGGGGGGGTACGTTCTCCCTAGAGGTGGGGGCTGACGATGAGGGAAAGCCCGGGGAGGGGGCGATACCCATGTTTCCCTTAAAGAGGAGGGGTTGACGATGGGAGAAGCAATATTGGCACGACAGAAGAAGCGAGGAGGGAGTGAAGAGGAGACTGCGGGGGGGGGGGGGGGGGGGTTACAAATCTGACAATGATGTAATGTTACATGACAGCACTATCGATCTAGGTGTTCTGGTCTAGGCTGAACATTTTTTTTTCTCCTAATGAACTGCGTGTGGTATTGGGCTTTCAATTAATCGACGTTTGCACAGCGGGCTAATTTAACACAACAAAAGGTGAATGTGTACGTTGGAAACAATGTCAGCTTAAGAAAGTATTTAGTGGTTTAGTAATGAACAATTATAGCGGTAGATGACTGCGTTAGAATATGTCAGAATGTCTGTTAAAAGAAACGAAACAGTTCATATTGGAAATGTGTTAAATTGGTAGGGCGATGTAATCAAATAGTAACGCCAAGTCTAGAGTTCGATTCCTGGTTTTAACTGGCCTTTTCGAGTGAAAGTGAAAGCAGTCCACCCTAGTTCTGATAAGTCCAATAAAGGGCAGCTGGCCGTTCGACTGGCCATAACCAACAACATCTCTAGTGACCACAGGCGAACTATACTTCATCTCTCCCATAAACATTACAAGTATTTAACTAAGAAGTCACCATAATAAGAGAAAAAAAATCGAAAAAAAAAAACTACAAGCAATTAAAAATAAAACAGAGCAGATAAAAAATACACGACATCAATGCGAGTTGAGTGAAATAATACACGTCGTCAATGTGAGTTGGGTGACAGTGAAATAATACACGACGTCAATGTGAGTTGAGTGAAATAATACACGACGTCAATGCGAGTTGAGTGAAATAATACACGACGTCAATGTGAGTTGAGTGAAATAATACACGACGAGTTGAATGAAATAATACATGACGTCAAAGCGAGTTGAGTGAAATAACACACGACGTCAATGTGAGTTGAGTAAAATAATACACGACGTCAATGCGAGTTGAGTGAAATAATACATGACGTCAATGCCAGTTGAGTGAAATAATACACGATGTCAATGCGAGTTGAGTGAAATAATACACGACGTCAATGCGAGTTGAGTGAAATAATACACGACGAGTTGAGTGAAATAATACACGACGAGTTGAGTGAAATAATACATGACATCAATGCGAATTGAGTGAAATATTACACATCAATGCGAGTTGAGTGAAATAATACACGACGTCAATGTGAGTTGAATGATATAATACACGACGAGTTGAGTGAAATAATACACGACGTCAATGTGAGTTGAATGATATAATACACGACGTCAATGCGAGTTGAGTGACAGTGAAATAAAAGTTGAAAACGTCAATTTCAACAGCGCTGTGATGTATGTTTAATGTCATTAAACCCGGGTATTCCTTAAATAAGTTCAAACTTGTGTTTTCCCATCTTTTTAAAGCAACACAATGTAATGTTAGAGTTTCAACTCTCACTAATAATATACCCAGACGCTATATTTAGTCGGGATAGAATTTCTGCACGTCACGTTTGTTGTTAGTTAAATGATGCTGGGTGACTACGTCATTGCCACACAATGTAGGAGGTAAATAATTGTGTTTATATTGTGTCCATTATAGACAGTCCTAGACGAACTAACATGATACACCTTCATGAATCTTTAATAACATTTTAAGGGCGGCCGACAAATATAACTTGTAAGAATGGGGGTCAAGCAGGTAGTAGAATTCTAATAGTTATATAAAGAGGACTGTGTGTTGTGTTGATAAAACTGTTTATACATAAGTAATATTTAGAGAAAACCTGCATTAATTTTTACTTTCTCGTATATACGTAGTATAGAGAAAGTATTGTAATCGTGCAAAAAAAAAAAATCGAGATTTTTACAAATCTCGACGTTTTACACCTCACTGATACGGAAAAACATAATTTTGCAATCTTGTCCGTATGTCTGTGTGTGTGTGTGTCTGTCTGTGTGTGTGTCTGTCCGTGTGTAAACACGATAACTTGAGTACCGTTACAGCTAGGTTGATGAAATTTCATATATAAGTATTTTATCAAAATCGTAGATCCGTATCAACTTTTGAGCGATTTCCGATAACCAGAAGTGGTACTTTTCCTACTTTGAATTTTTCAAAAGCCTATAACTTGAGTACTATTTCAGATAGATAAATGAAATTTCACATGTAAGTAAAAAATCTAATTCTCTACCTTCTGTTAAATTTTGAGTAATTTCCGTTGACTGGAAGTAGTAATTTACGCTACTTCCGATTTCTCAAAAAACTAATGTAAATTTTTAAAGTACTAATAATATTGCGCACTATTATACGCGTTTTTATTCGGCGTTTGCTTGGTGCGCAATGTTTTTTTTTATGAGATTCTATTCTATTTTTAAAAGTTTAAGTATTTAAAATGGATTAAAAATCATAACTATATCCCCAGTTACCATCCCCTGTTGTTTTATATAAGAATATTCGAGAAAGTTTAGGGGAGATCACTACCGGTTTATTTTATAATACTAAAACAAAAAATCCTAACACAACAGACTAGCCCAAAGGTTAAAGTTATAACACGTGTTTGGTTATGGCTAATTGATAAGAACTATTGACATAATATTTTATGATATCCACTGAATAACTGCTATACTTTAACTTGCCTACACGAATTTAAAAAATTGTAAAAATTAAAACATTTAAGATGTAAGATTTTCCTTAAATGTGTGACAATTTCAATCACTTATTACCTCAACAACCTAATAAGGGTGTATGTAAAGAACGCTTTCTTTTTTAAAAGGAGGCAAAGGGTTAAGTGTAATGCAGGGAGCGTTGGTGCATGACTTCATTGATCCCTCCCCCACCCTCTCGTACCCTTTAGGTTGGACACAGCTTTCCTCTAACTCTCTAGCCTTCACTGTATTCAAGCAAACTCATTCAATAAGGGTTGGCTGTTCTTTTTTTCAATAGGGCACATTTACTTTGCTTTATACAGTTGTAACTCTACCGTTGAAAACAAGGGATTCTTCGTCTAAAAATGTATTTTCTTTACATTAACTTACAATAATAAAAATCTGAAATTTCCCTCTAAACTCTCATCTTACACGCGTCAAACCGATGACAACTTTAGAGTTGCTTCACTAAGTTATTTTTAAACACTGGCTTTATTATCTACATGCACTGAGCACAACTTTGTTTCCAAGTTGTTTCCCTTAACAGTCCCAGTTGCTTCCCTTAACAGCTCTGCTATTCTATCTACTGATGCATGTGATAAGGCCATACCATTCGTCAAACCAGTACTCGCACATAAGTATCTCTTACAATACGGAAAAAGTTAAAAATTAGACTAGAAAAAGGACATCTCAATTATTAATATGTAGCAGGAATTGTAAGAAGGATGATACATTACTTAAGTACTACGACGCAGTGTAATCAAGATGATAACAGCCACTAGTGTGAATATGCTGTAGGAAGTTAAGTTATTGGGAAGCTGACTCTAGTACTACGATGTAATAGGAAGTGTGTTACTGTTATTAAGATGATAACTGCCACTAGTGTGAACATGCTGTAGGAAGTTAAGTTATTGGGAAGCTGAGTCTAGTACTACGATGTAATAGGAAGTGTGTTATTAAGATGATAATTGCCATTATAATTAACATGCCATAGGAAGTGTGTTATCGGGTATGATAAGCGTATCTCAACGTATTTTTTAAAAACCGGTTACGTTGATCACGTGACACGCGAGTAATCGATGGCGAATGTCACGATCCATGCGTAATTGATCATTTGAGACTAGTTAAGTGTTTCTAACCCAGTCCTCCGGCTCGCATCTAGTCACGTCTGAACAAACAGATCGAAGTCCGTGGATCTCCCGCGAGCCGAGTTCTCACACACACAAAAAAAGGTGTTAGTGTATAATACCTCGAGCCCACATACCTCAAAAAATGAACGACTTAAAAAACGGTCTACCTTCTTAGTTGAGCCAGCTGTCGAGGACGGATGTCATTACCGACGTTAAAACAGTTCATTAAAAAAACATCATTTTTCAACTGGAAATGTATTTTTGTCACGTGTTACTTAGACTTTTTAAAA